CGGACGCGGACGCAGACGCAGACGCGAGACGGGGCGACAATGTAGAAGACGAAGAGGGGGGTTGTAGGCTCAGAGGTATGTTTTCGCAGTGGGGGAGAAGGAAGCTAGGATTCGCTGGCTACTCAGTACATACAGTCGCATTATTTATACCTATCGCCCCCGGTGTTGTGGCCGTCGTCGTGCGCAATGCGCGCCCCAACTCCTTCGTGGCCTTGACGCCTCGCAACGCGTCCGCTGGCCCGTTGTTCTGCGTGTGGCGCCCCCGGTCATCTTGCATGGTTGATGGTATGTTGGCCCGTCGACGTTGCATTGTGTTGTTCGTGGCCGCGGTAGCTTTGCGTGTGCGATAGACGAGCAGGCAGTCGTGGATGATAAGCAAGAGACAATGCGCTGTCGCGTTGTGGCTGTGCGTGCGTTGTCGGCGAGCGTGCGCTACAGTGCCTTTCCTTGTGGGCGGTGAGTTATGATTGGTGCGTCGTGTATAAAAGCAACGCTGATGGAGCTGAAAATACGATTCTCGCCGTACGCGAAACATTACCAGGTCATCTCAAGTTTTCCTCAATGGAGCAATCATCTGAGCGTCAGGCTGTGGCAGGGAAGGTCGATGCTACAGGTGCAAGCTATGCGAGTAAGAACCCGAAGACTTGGCAGTTGATATTGCTCGCCTCCCTGGCCTTTCCTGTCTACTTGGAAACTTTGGATTACACTGGTCAGTGCGCTCCTAACGAACGTCGGTCGTGGAGGCACGTCTCTGAATCCCATGATAGTCGTCGCCACCGCCCAGTCGGATATTGCGGTGAGTTATTCAACTATATATGACGTCAAAGATCACTCAGGCATTGATCAGTCCGCCTTTCACCGGCTCGACTTGCAAAGGTATCGTATATAACAACATCTCCTGCGATACATTAGCTGACTGTGCAATGTAGCTGGATTGGAACATCATACTTGCTCGTCAGTTGTCTGACTACCATCGTCATTCTTCACCCGGCGCTGATGATGCCCCAGACATCCACTGTTTTCTTGCCGATCTTCGCGTCAATTGCGGACATATTCAGCCGGCATGCATGTCTGCAGCTCAGCTTGCTCATCTTCATGGTGGGGAGTGCCGTCAGTACCGGAGCACAAAACATGGCTATGATGCTGGCCGGACGCGGAATTGCCGGTGTTGGAGCAGCGGGACTCTTGGTGGTAAGAACTCATAGTTATACTAGTTCACAACAGACTGCATTCACCAATAGGTCGTGCGGGTCATCATTGGCGATTCTCGTTCCATTGCGAGTAATAGCGCCCAGTGGTTGTTGTTATTATTGCTGTACGCAGCCGGATATAGTACGGGGCCCGTGATTGGTGGTCGGTGCACATCGCTTTCACTCCAAGTCAACGTATGCTTACGATACCGTAGGCAATCTTCTCAAAGTGTCGTTCCGTTGGATATTCGCCATCAAGTGCGTCTTTCGAATTACTTCTCAGATAGGAGTATCATTCACGTTGTCTTCGGTGTAGCCTGCCAGGCTGCGCGCTTTCTATGTTCCTAGGATTCTTTCTTCTCCGTGGGCGAACAAAGAAAGGACGGGCTTTGCCGACGTGGCAGCAAGAGCCTGAACGTTCCTCGCGGGCCTCGTGGGCTGCAAAGGTCCTCCGGATAGACTGGATAGGTGGGACACTATTCATCGGCGCAGGGCTTCTCATCCTCTTGGCTCTCAACTGGGGGTCGAACGAGAAATGGCGGTCGGCAAAGGTCATTGTATCGCTTGTGGTGGGCGGTTTGCTACTTGTTGCAACCGTTGCATGGGCGTACATCCTCGAGACGCGCCAGAAAGCTGTCCCCGGCGATCGACCTCTCCACAGCGTCTTCCGAGTGGCCAGCATATTGCCGCTGGATGTCTTGCGATCGAAGGATATCAGCATTTGTCAATACGCGTCCTTCGTCTCCGGAATGGTGATGATAGTGATGTTTTACTTCGTTGCGATCTTCTTGGTCGTAGCGAAGGGGCTCGACGCGGCCAAAGCGGGCGTGCAGCTGGTATACTTTGCGCCAGGAATGGGCGTCGGGGCTTGTATCGTGATCTTCATTGTCAGATGGCTCCAACAGGTACGCGAGGATTCCAATTATTCGTATGCTCTGCGGTTTAAGCCGGTTACGTTTTGTTCACAGCCGCGCTACGCAATCCAGTTCAGTGGGGTGGTTACAACTGTCGCCCTCGGGCTCATAGCGAACTCCATTGCTAAAGACAACCAGACGGAGGTAAATTGGTGAGCCAAGCGATCGAGCGTTCCGACGGGGCGCTGATGGTTGAAGGAAGGTTTTTGGCGATGGCAGGATTGGGCACGGGCCTAGCCACGAGTTCTCTGGCTCTTCAGGCAAGATTCATCATCCACGAAGACCGAAATGCGGTTGTGACTGCTTTGACTTTGTTTGTGCGTTTTCGCGATAATATCTTCGGAAAGATATGAGTCTGAAGGCCGTTCCGCAGACGCGTACACTCGGTGGAACTGTTGGTCTAGCGCAGTGCGGGGCGGTCATGAATAACAACGTCCGCACAGCGCTCACGACCGCCATCGTCTCCGGCGCCTTCTCGCCTTCGGACCTTTCCAAGCTAGCAGGGTCTAGCCCGGACTCGGTATCCGTAATCAGTTCACTATCCCCTGCCGGGCAGAGTATCATACGCGGCGCGTACCGCGTCGGAATCGAGTGGTGTTTCTACTCGATGGTGCCATGGTATGGCCTTTCGTTCATCACTACGTTGTTGCTGGGCAAGGTGCGCGAGGATACGCGTATGGAAAAGAAGGACGAAAAAGTCGGGGAAACTATTGATATGCAGGAAAGAGGCACACGGCCGATAGGTGATGGAAGCTCAAAGGGAGGGAATATAGCACAGTCTAAAGCATGATCATGAGCCTGAGAGCGGTGACGATGTATTAACTTGAAGTACCACAGCCTGGGTCTGACGACAGACTTTCCGATCCAGCACCCATGTCCATGAGTTGTTATATATGTTAGATCTCTGGCTCAGATGCTTGAGATAGGTGGCACTCAGTATAGTGGGGCCGATCGCTAGTGCATACACCAATATGCGGTATTTATCCTCTGAAATCACTTTATCTCTCTAAATACAGATCTGACGGTGGCTGTGCCCAACGTGTATACCAAGGTCTTCCCCGCCGTGGCGGGCGCTTGTGTCATCTGTGGTCTTGCTAGCTCCTCGCGTCGCTGAAGAACTACTCTTGCAATCAATCTCCTTTCGGACAGTTTGCTTCTACCGGCGCCTGCTGGTGCTACACAATTCTGGATCCCGGCTCTTACCATGTCACGAATACGAGAGGTGTGGGCTTCCAACCTCGAAGTCGAGATGCGCAACATCCGAACCCTCATGGAGCATTATCCGTACGTTGCCATGGTGGGTGTAGACAACTTCCCGACCATAATATGTAGCGAACGCTGATGCATAGATTCCTCATAGGATACAGAGTTTCCCGGCGTCGTCGCGCGACCAATAGGCGCGTTCAAGACATCATCTGACTACCACTATCAGACAATGCGGTGTAACGTCGACTTGCTAAAGATCATCCAAGTTGGTCTTACTCTTGCAGATGAAGAGGGAAACTATCCGGAGGATGTAACGACATGGCAATTCAACTTCCGGTTCAACATCAAGTACGTCGTGCTTAGCGCGCGAGGATATGGTCGGCGCTCGCGTGCTTATATCACCCTTGTCTATGCTTCAGCGAAGACATGTGCGCGCCAGACTCGATCGAGCTCCTGGAACAGTCAGGGATAGACTTTGACCGTCACCGGGACCAAGGCATCTCGCAGAACGACTTTGCAGAGCTCATGATCACGTCGGGATTGGTGCTGACGGACGAGGCGCGGTGGATTTCATTCCATAGGTGCGTTTATATGGTCATACATCTATGCGTGCAATTCACGCCCCACGACAGTGGCTATGATTTCGGCTACTTCCTCAAGCTGCTCACTGGAGACAGCTTACCGACATCGGAGAACGAGTTCTTTGACCTCATACATATATGGTTTCCTAACATATACGACATCAAGTTCATGATGCGGGCATGTAAAGGACTGAAGGGTGGCTTGCAAGACCTCGCGGACGACCTCGGGGTAAGCTATTTCCATTTATACGTAGTTCACGCCTGCGATTTGTCTCACCCAATTGCTCGCCGCGTTCAGGTGCTGCGCATTGGGCAGTCGCATCAAGCCGGATCGGACTCGCTTCTGACCATGGCGACCTTCTTCAAGATGCGCGAACTATATTTCGATGATCGGATAGATCACGACGAGTACAACGGCAAGCTGTATGGCCTGGGGCAGACGTTCACCCTCACCAACAACGTCGCGGCCGGAGGTGCCACCATGGCCGAGCGGGAAGACAGGCAAGCGGTGGCAACACCGCAAAGTCAAATCGCGCTGCCCGCGCCGGCGATCGGGAACGCGCTACCAAGCGCGCTACCGCCATCGACCCCGTACGGGCCGATGGGCGCAACACAACAATTTATACGGACGGCAATCGGTGTAGGCGGGAGATAGTATTCATGGTTCTTGTATTTGCATTCCGTGTATATGTCTTGCTGTCGTTGTCTTGTATCATCCATCGCTACTTAATTCTTCATCCATCCCCGACCGTTACTCTGAGGGTGTGTGGTGGCTGTGCCCAATCTTATACCTCGAGCTCTTGCTTCACCCATGGCTCGCCGTAACACGTCGAAAAGCTCGAAGCCTCGCAAGGGCCCGAGAGCAGTGAACAAGAAGGATGCATCTATCCAGCGCTGGGAGACGATGGACGACATACCGATGGACGAGGAGGATCACTGTGCGCTACCTATTCACCACCGTGGAGAAGTAGCTAACTGAAGTAGTTCATGCTTCCAGAGACCGCATTCTATTAGATGGGGAGGGCTCAGGCAATGAAGATGACGGGGATGAGGACGAGGTCTTTGCTCTAGAAGGCATTCCAGACTCTAGCTCAGAGAACGAAGGCGAGGATGAGGAGGATGAAGGCGCCGAGGACGAGGACGAGGCCGAAACCCTGGTCGTACCATCTAAGTCGAAAAAGAAGGCGAAGACGACGAAGAAGAGTGTTGCTACTTTGAGTGAAGAGGACGATGAAACGGACGAGGAAGAGGACGAAGAATCCTGGGGCAAGAAGAAATCTGCCTATTACTCGTCGAATGCCGCTGAACTTGAGAGCGACGATGAGGAGGCATTGGAGATGGAGGAAGCTGAAGCACGGAGGCTTCAAGCCAAGGCACGCAGGGTCTTGGCGGATGACGACTTCGGCCTTGGGGATGCGCAGGAGCTTACTGCGAGTGGCGCCTACAAAACTGGAGATGAAGAGTACGTTGGCCATGATGTTACTAGCGTCGTTGTGCTCATATTACTTTATGGAGTCCATTGGCTGATGACGTACACAACGCGACTGTGGACGCCCAGGTGTCATCAGACCCATCGTCCGTCCTCCGTGCTTTGGAGAAGAACAGCCCGGAAACTCTCGCACTTGCTCGGGATTGGGAGGACATTGCTCACAGCATCGTCAGAACTCAGGCCAAGCTGGAGAAGTACGTTGTTCTCCTGTTCTCCTGTTCTGGTGGGTACGTGATCTCATTTTCCATCTTGATAGGTTAGGGTCAACGACCCCTGATACCCTCAGCCTCGGAATGGTGCATTTACACTATCGTGCGTGTACAGGCTCGGGTGCTAGGGTCTGCCATTGGCGCTAATACAACTTTTTTTCCTCCTTCAGAGGCACTCCTCACGTACGCCACGACTCTCGCGTTCTACCTTCACCTTCGTGCAAGTCCCAAGTACACCCAGAAACCGGAACAGCTCCGCGCACATCCGGTGATGCAGCGCCTTCTAACGCTGAAGCAGTCTCTTGCGACGCTAGAGGACCTCGACTTTGACCTCAGCGACGAGGACAGCGAGCAAGGTAGCGGGGAAGAAGAGTTGGATGACGAGGCGGTGGACTACGACGAGGCGCTCGATATGCTGAAGCTATTCGCGGGTGGACGGAGCAACAACGTGGATATGGGCAGTCTGGATAACATGAGCGCAAAGGAGCTGCAGCAGTTGATAGCGGGTGAAACCCTGGAAGGCAGTTCTAGCCCGCCTGCAGCTGCGGTAGAGGAGAAGAAGCGCAAGGGGAAGAAGATTAAAGACAAAACCAATCCGACACCGTCTCTTGGCCCTGTTCACGCAGATGAACAGACAGAAGAGCGCCGCCCGAAGAAGAAACGCAAGGCCAACGCCGAACCCAAAGTCGTCTTCGACCTCGAAGAACCCGAGTTCGTGTCGGCATCCGGCTCGAAAGCGAACACCACTACAGCAGCTGCCGGCGGCGTGGTGGATGTCTACGGCGAGGCATCTGCCCTTCAGAACGCCGACCTTGCGGACAAGAAGGCGCGCAAAAAGTCGTTGCAATTCTACACGGCCAAGGTCGCGAGCACCGCTGCCAAGCGCGATGGCGCGCGGGCGGCGACGATGGGCGGCGACGATGACCTGCCGTATAAACCTCGAAAGCGGGATCAGGCGAAGGTCAAGAAGAGCGACAGAGGTCAGGGCGGAGACGATCTCGATAACGAGGAGCCGGAGCCGAAACAGAGCAAGAAGCGCGCCCGAGACGCTGGATCGGACGATGACGACGGGTTCTCAGGCGAGGAGGACGCGGAAGGTTACTATTCCCTCGTCAAGAGCAAGTCCAAAGAAAAGAAGGAGAAGAAGAAGGCGGAGTACGACCAGGCGCGCCTGGCGGAGCGCGCGGAGCTGGAGGGTGGCGACGAAGCCGCCGGACCGCGGTCTTTGACCCGGGCGATCTTGAAGAACAAGGGTCTGACGCCGTCCCGGCCAAAGAGCGTGCGCAATCCCCGCGTCAAGAAGCGCCAGCGGTTCGAGAAGGCGAAGAAGAAGGTGTCGTCGCAGCGCGCGGTGTTCAAGGGAGGTCTCGCGGCGACGGGAGGCAGGTACGAAGGCGAGAAGACGGGTATCTCGAAGGTGGTCAAGAGCACGAGGCTATGATAGATATCTCGTCGCACTTTGGCGTACATTCTTTGTATATGCATACGTTCTACGCGAAGTTATATATATATTGCATCGAAAGGCTTTAGCAGGGCACAGTGCTTTACTGATTGTACATACAAAAGAGGTATAATCAACACAGTCGACGACTCACGGCGATGCTCGTTTTCCTACCTAGTCCGTTCTATGCAGAATAGGAAAAGCACATTAGAACCCAAACAAGATGTGCGGCGGGCCCGCGTTCAACTGGTATCCAAGCCATATAACCCATGCCGGTCGGCAGGGCATAACGGAGGCCATGTGCACGAGCCCCGTACCGTAAACCAAACAAAAACGCATGTGCAGCGCCGCCCCCGTTCAACTTGTATCCATGCCGTGAGGCTCCACCATGACCGTCAACCGTGGCGCGACGGAGGCCATATGCATGAGCTCCGACTCGCCAGCCCGCGCTTTCGCGTACGCGCGCTTGATCTCGGAGCCCTGCTCGCCGGCCTCCTCGTACGCGTAGCTGTACTGGTCGAGCGCGGCGATGCAGTTCGACACTTCCGGGCGGCCGAGCCGGGCGAGGACCGTGCCTGCCTGGATGCAGCTGACGTGCATCACCGCCGGGTCGAGGCGCAGGTAGCCGTTCGACGCCAGGACGCCGGCCTGGACCCACGGATTGAGCGACGGTATAAAATGAGGTTCGGGAACGAGGTTAAGGGGGGGGGGGGGTTGGGACGTACCAGTCCGGCGATGCGCAACGCGCCGTGCAAGGTCTCCTTCATGATCTCGCGCTTGACCTGTTCCGCCTCGAGATGGTTGTGCGACAGGCGAGGCGACGCGCCGGACCGGACGACCTCGTTCACCTCGCGCACGCCGTAGTCGTCGACGGCGTTGAACAGGATGATCCACATCACATGGTACGTCGCGTCACTCGCGCCTGCGGGAGAAAAAAAAGAACAAAAGAAACCCACATCCCTATCTTTAGCGACCGGCAATGGACACACACACAGAGTGTGTGTGTGAGAGAGAGAGAGAGAGAGGAACTCACAAGCCGAGATGGCGGAGATAAAGTCCCACTCCGCCGCGAAGTTGCTCGGGACGCCGACCTGGGGCAGATAGCGCTCGCGCCAGTCGACGAGGAGGCTCATGAGGTGCTTCACGACGGCGAGCGGAACGCCCTCCGACTGCGACGCGGGCCGCCAGAGCTGGCGAGACATCTGTCGCGCCGTCCGCGAGAGCGCGTGCGAGGCGCGGTAGTAGCCCTGTGCCGGCGCGCGCGCACACGGAGAGGGCGTACAACGTCAGCCACGGGCTCTGGGTTTATGCGCGTGCCAATGGGGGGGGGGGGGGAATCGGACTTGCCAGGAACTCCAGCTGCTCGCGCGTCGAGTTGGCCTGCGCGTCGCCGTCGGTCACGATAGGATCCGTGGTGTAAAAGTCGATATCGTAGTCGTCGTCGTCGCTGGCGCCATCGCAAGTCCTCGTCAACATTACTCGCCCCGTGGATGGATAACGAACGGGTGAAGGAGGGGGGGGGTGGGACCCACATCATCGGCTTTCGCCTGTAGTACGCGGACCCGTACGCGTCGGCGATCAAGGCCATCCACCACGCAAAGATCATCGTCCCACGTGCTTCGGGATCTTGGATATGCCCCATGACCGACTTGTGGTTGATCTGCGATACAAAATCGTCGGGCGTCAGCCGGGAACGTCTCGCGGCGCGCGGGGCCGGGGCCGTGTGCGCAGCCGAGGTGAGGCGAAGGCGCGAAGAGAAAACCGAAACCGGGGCGTGCACGCGTATTGCCGCCGAAGCGTGGAAAAAGACATGCGAGGGGGAGGGGGGGGAGAGAGGATAAGGAAAGCCGGACGAGCGCGTACCTGAAGCGTGAACAAGTGCCGGATGGACGCGGCAAGCCAGAAGGTGTGGAAGCCTGTATGAAGCAACGAGATCCGGATGAGCCTGTGTGCGCCTCTCGGGACCGCGACGCGCGGGGCCGACGGACACATCGAAGGGGGGTTTTGGCTGCTACGGGAACGCGCGGGGGTAAAAAAAAAAAAACAACAACGCACCGCTCGGATCCTCCGGGTTTTCTGGGATGATCTTTCTTTAGTCATCTCGGCGAGAAGACGACGACGACGAACGGGGACTCACGGGCTTGGAGAGGTTCGAGGAGCAGGCCGGCGAGGACGTGGTCCACGTTCGCGATGCGGTGGACCTTCAGCGACTCGGCGACCTCCCGCGCGCGATCGATGAGCGCCTTGGCGAGCAGCCCCTGTCCGCCGTTCCGGGTGCGGTCTGCGACGAGCAGCGGGTGCTCCGAGAACTTGGCGCCCCACGCGAGGACGGTGGCGACGATGGCGGGGTGCAGCGGGGCGGCGCCGCGTCCTCCTGCGCCGCCGTGGCTGCCGATCCGCAAGCTGGTCGGGGTGGAGCTGGCGGTGGTGGTCGGCGTGAAGGAGCCGTTGGTGCTCGGGAGGGCGGAGGCGGTGTAGGTGAGCGGCGAGGCGGAGGCGGAGGCGGCGGAGGAGACGGAGGGCGAGGGCGGGTAGGACGGCGGGTGCGGGAGCTCGAGCCGGTTTTTGAACTCGGCCGGGTTGAGGAGCGGGAAGCGGGTGTGGACGATCTGGAAGAAGACTTCGACGAGGTCGAGGGCGAATCTGGAGGGGGCAGATTTGGGATTCAGAGAACGGGCGGAGGAGGAGGACAAAGGGCGATTAGAGAGCGCACTCGGATCGGTACGAGAGGTCCTCGAGCTTGGACGCGAGGTCGCCCCATTCCGCGTACGGGTTGTGCTGGCGCTGCGCACGACGACGCCCCAGCTTCTAGCGTACCTCTTCGCGCCTCCAGATCGGGCAAAGTGAGCAAATAGGCCGCCCCCCCCCCCCGCTTGACGTGCGCGCGCTGACGCGTGTTTTCCGTCTGCAAGCGAGACCCCGTCTAGCCCTCTGCATTACCCGTTTCCGGGTGATCGGCGGCCCGGCAAGACCGTGCTGGAAGCTCGCGGGGACGTGGAACGCGGTCTGGATGGTCGGGTAGCTCGTCGCCGGGGACACGTAGTCCGGAGAGCTGGGGCGGGCGGGGTTAGATGAGATGGGAAACCGCGTGGCCCGAAGAGGCGAGCGCGAATCCGGAGGAAGAAGGGGGGCTTACTGTCGCGAAGGCGAGGTCACGCCACCGGGGGGCGTTCTGCATCAGAACGGGAGGTATACGTCAGGGAGATGCGCGTTCGGGCGGCGGCAGGTGGGAACGGGCCGATAAAGAGGGGGAATACGTACAACCGACTCGGCGCGCCGTGCGGGGACCTAGAAGGGAGAGGGACGTGAGCGACCGGAGCGGCGAGATGGGGAGAGGAGCCTACCCGCTGGGGAAAGAGGTGTTTAATATCCGATGGATCCGATATGGTTTAATAGAAGACGACTGGGGTGGGGCAGAGAATAGGGCGGGGGAACGCACTTTGAGGTGTTCGTGCTCAGAGCCCGAGGCCGGCGGGACGCGTTGACGTTGCGCTTCTTCTCGTTGGTCGCCTGCTGGACGTAGTGTCTGCGGGCGGAGGGCGTCTGGACGGGGAGCGTGCGAGACGGGGAGGGGCGGAGGACGTACGTGCAGGGGTAGTTCTTGGACAGGCAGTGCTGCGGGCGGGCGACGTCAAGGCAATGGTACTACTGCTGAGCGCGGAGGGTCGTTGTTACCTGGCACTGCGAGGGGGGCATCAGCAACGGGGGCGGGGGCGAGAGGGGGGCGGAGACGCTGACCTTGTCCTGTCCGGGGATGCGATTGCACTTGACCTTGCGGGATCTGGAGCACGGCGTCTGAGCTCGGGACGGGGAGACGATCGCGGGGCTGACCTGCAGGCATCGCAGGCGGTGTTCTGCTTCCTCGGGGGCGTCATGGACTTGATAGCGAGCTCGTGGATGTGGTTCTGGACCATCGCGTTCGGGAGGGCGACGCCTGGGCGATGCATGGCGGGGGACGCGGAAAGAGTCAGCGCGGGGATGAGCAGACGCCCCCGGTCACGGCCGCGTTCTCACCTGGCTGCCCATGGGAGGATGCCATCTGGGACTTGGCCGCGAATGGACGAGCAGTGAGAGGGCGCGCGGTATAAATAGCCGCTTCTCCGGAGCCGCCCCCACGTGGCCATCCATTCTCCCCCGACGCCCAGCGCACCCTCGTCCACCCCCCCCCCATCACCGTCCCCCGCCATGGTCAAGGTCGAAATCGTAGACGAGAAGGACGCCGCCGCCGCCCCCGGCTCCCCCTACTCCTCCGCCGCCTCCTCCCGCACCGCCTCCTCCCTCTCGCTCTCCTCCACCGCCTCCGACGTCCCCGACGACGAGTCCCTCCTCGACCGCCTCGCCGCCCTCGTCGACATCGTCCCCCCGGCCACCCGCCACAGCATCTCCTCCAAGCTCTCCGCCACCGGCTCCGCCTTCCGCACCGGCTCCAAGCTCGTCGGCAACGTCGTCTGGGTCGTCACCACCTCCCTCCTCCTCGTCGGCCTCCCGCTCGCCCTCAGCCTCGAGGACGAGGCGATGCGCACCGCCCAGGAGAAGGAGATGCTCGCGCAGCAGCAGGGCGCCCAGCAGGTTCGTGTCGTCTCTTTCCATCCCGCACGTCCCAATCCTCCGTGCCACGTCGACGTCTCGCTCACTCTGGCTCTCTCTCTCTTTGCCAGATGATGCCCGCCGGTTCGCCGTACCCGCCCGCGCCGGGCCAGCAACCCGGCCAGAACCAACAAAAGGGCTTGGTGCCGCCCGGCTTCTGAAACGCTCACACAGCGCTTCGCATGACCATCACCACCACCACCCAACCCACTCGCATTTAGACCTCGCATTGTATCCTATATGCTTTCCTTCGCTCTGCGCGGCCTTTTTTTGATGCCCAGAGGACGCTAATGACACGTATACGCTATTATCGCCGCTCACGCTCCTTTGCGTTTGGTCGTCGAAAAATTGGGTTTCGTAACGTCCGGATCGTGCCGCTCGCCGTGTTTAGTCGCCGTGGTACCCACGGCGCGCCGGCGCGTCGTCCCGCTCCGAAACGCCCTCTCACATATGCCTTTAAGATTGCCTCCTCCCGATGCCGTTCGCATACGTAGTTTCGTCCCTTCTCCCGTTTATGGTGTACCCGCAGTCGTCCATGCGCGCACTCAAAGATCTCTCAAAACGCCCAGGGACGCGAACAGAACGCCGACGGGAGTGAGAAACGCGGAAACGTCATCAACATACATACGTATGCGCGCGTGTTAGTTCTCCGCGCAGATCCCCAGGTTCGCGCTAATTGTTCCATCATCTCTTTGGGCGCGCGCGCGGTCATAACCCCGCGCTTCTGCGAGAGCCTCTTTATCGCCACTCCCGTTGACGTTGATCAGGCGATAAACATCCCGTGCCTTGCGTTTCGTCGTCCCGGACGCTGCTCCAATTAAACTCTACGAGCGTCCTTCATAGTACCCACTTTGCGCGATGAAAGAAACGAAGGGCTGGCAAAATGAAGCGTGCAACGTATATGGAACGTACGCCGTAGCGACGCACGAGGCACTTCACTTCCTGTCGTTAGAGAGCTCAGGGACGTTGTCGCTTCACGAGCTCGGATACCAAACGGGCGCAGGGCCCGCCCAATCGAGGAGAAGATCGCGTATCGATCGTGCGTGTAACGCGCAGAGGTCGATAACCTTCGTGGAACACATGCCACCTGATCGCCCTCCAGCCGCGCACTCTCATCTCCGTGGTCGGAGTCCGACGGAGCGCGCAGCGTCGGGCAACGCCGACGATCTGATCGTTTTTCTCGCATTCGACGCGCCAAATCTAGGATACATCCGATCTGCCCACGCAACAAACAGAAACGGCGCCGGTTCACATCCTCGAGTGGGGAAGCACCATCGGCCTCGAATAGGTTTCCCTGCGTACAAAATCCGTGTCAGCACCGACCGAAGAAAAAAAAAAAGAGGGGGGGGGGAAACGCGAGAACACGTACGCCTCGCGATACGCCCGCAGATACGCGACGGCGAACTGCTCGATATCGTCGGGCTCGACGCCGACGACGTCCCAGTCGCCCGGCACGGCCTTGTCGTCGATATACTTCCTCTCGATCTCGTCCGGGCTCGTCGTCGACCACCACACCGCGCGCTCGACGGCGCCCGTGACGAGCTTGGCGAGCGACTTGGGCAGGTGCGGCGCCTTGGACGGCGGGCGGTAGGTCACGGTGCTCACGAGGTCGAGCAGGTACTCGTACGTGACCGTGCGCGGGCCGGGCAGGTTGAGCGCGCCCGCGTGCGCCGGGGTCGAGAGAAGGTTGGCGGCGGCTTGCGCGACGTCGAGGACGTGCACGGGCCGGACTTTGGTCTGCATGTCGTTCAGCTTGAACCAGATCGGCCAGTCTGTTTCCGGTGAATGAGTATTACGCGCTCTCGATGAATAGATATGGAGAAGGGGGAGCGAGGAAACGCACTGAAAACGCTGTTCAGGAGCTTGTCCTCGTGCCCGAACATGGCTGAGGGCCGCAGGATCGTCGCGTCGGGGAAAGCGGCCGTGACCGCCTCCTCGCCCGCCGCCTTGGCGCGGTACAACTCGGATGGCGAGTCGTGGTCCGCGTTGAGGTGCGAGACGTGCACGAAGCGCGACACGCCGTTGTCCGCCGCGACCTTGGCGATGGTCGACGCGCCGGTGACGTGCACGTCGGTGTAGGAAAAGTTCTTCGTGGGGTAGTCGCGCCCGACGAGGTTGTAGACCGTGTCCGAATGGCGAAGGCATTGCTCGATCTGGGCGATGTTTCGGATGTCCCATTCCTGAGCGAGGCGGGGTAGTCAACGAGAGGCCCTGGTGTAAGCGGACAAGCAGGGCTAGGACGTACCAGGGGTACGATCTGGCCGAGGTCACCCATGGGCTTCAACACACGAATCTCGTCCTCATCTCGGTAGGGAACGATGACTTGCGTTCCAATCTTCGCTACAGAGCAGAACGGTCACGGCCGTAAGCCAGACCGCCCATGCGCAACATGTACACACTGTGAACGAACCTAGCTTCGCTACGACGTAGCGGCCAAGGAAACCGGTGCAGCCAAAGACGGTGGCGACGTGACCGGAGACCGCGCTTCGACCTGGGGGACCGTAGGATATTATGGGCTTGGATTTGGGTCCTCCGGAAACCGTAATGTCATGGATGGCCCGCTGAAGTCGAAGATTGCCCAGTGAGTCGAGTATGAGAGCCACGATCACAGGTCGGATAGTACCTTGAGTTGCCTCGTCGCCGTGCGCTGCAGGCGCCCGGCCGAAGAGCTCGCGAGCATGGTAATAGTAAAGACTGTCGTTGTCGAGGACGAGCGGGCAACGTGAGCCGGGGACGGCCGAACGCGACTTTCTCACTCTCCGCCATCCAATCTTCGACCTCGGTTTACTTTGTAACCGCACATCCGCTTCACGCTGATATGGTCCAAGGCAAGACCAAGGGGCTCTCGCAGAAGGCGTCTGGGTCCAACTCGGGACGACATGCGGCGAAGGCGGCTGCAAACATGAAGAAGGGCAAACGGCAGATCGCGCCCAAGAAGGCGCAGCTCGTGAAGCAGGCCGCTATGCACAAGGTCCGTCTCATCCATGCTTTGCGTCTGTGCAGAATGGGCACTGATGACGATGCATCATCTTAGCAACTAAGCGCGAAGATCAACAAGTCGGTCGAGCAGCAGATGGTCAACGCCGCCTCCTCGGGCAAGCTGACCATCATGAAAAATGTCGGGGACGAAGCGTGAGTTGGCGAAAGCCTCTTTCAGCCCACAATTCGGCTGATATGTGTCATTTACAGCGCCCAAGCCTCGAAAAAGGAGGCAACAGTCGCGAGGAAGGGGAAAGACAAAGCGTGAACCCGTGCCTCTAGCGATGTACGAGGTGCCACATTGTCAGTAACACCTGGAACTCCTCCTGAGGTCCCTCCTCCCTAATCCAATTCGATTTTCAGACGATTGACTATGCGGAACGGCGATTGGCTTATCTGCAAGCAGGACTGCAGGTCCACAAGGTCCACAAAGCCTCAGGACACTGACGCCCGTCTACTCCGTGCATGACTTGATGCATGATAATGCTTCCCGATGCGGCAAATCTTGATGGAGCTGGACGCGGGCGAAGCTGCTTTGCGGATGCTGTGCGAGCGGAATGAGTGTGGTTGCGGTCATGTTTCAACGTATGCCGTTGCATGTTTACGAGCTCATGTACACCGCTGAAATGGGGCAACCTTCATGAGCGACATCTTTGACCAGATCTTTCCGCGGGAAATTGGTTAACCTACGGCGTTAGTGATAGCTATTGCTATCACGCTACCTATCGCGGCTTGGCCTGCGAGACGAACAGGTCGAACGGGGCAAAAACGGCCAGTAGGGAAGGTGTTGATCCTCCAGGCTTCAGTACCCATACCGACAAGCTTCTCCATACCCTGTCAATTGATTGCGTGAGCCGTTGTCTGTTCTCGGCTCTCCGCATATACGGTCGAGGCTATATGTCCGTCGCACACGGATCCCTCGTTGCATGTCTTGACATGGATACAAACCATTTGATGACATGTTTCGGCACGCAGATTATCACTGAGTCATGAGTGCGAGGAGTTTATTGGCCTGAATAGAAACTGATACGATATTGTGACCATCGGCCAATGGAGCATACGACATACGAACGTCCTGAAGAAGCTCAAGGGTTAAAGCAAACGATAGGACGCAACATCATCCAAATAACACGAAACGCACGGAACCGACGATCCAGCCGCTAGCTGCTAGCTCAGAGGATGCACATGTTCATGTCTGCTCCTGTGAGTCCATGCTTGAGTACGCAGTCTAGGAAAATCCCGCCGACGAATCCACCTCTAAACGTGTATTTCTCGGAACCATGGGTTCTCGTGCAACGCCCAAACTGCATGGCCGTGCGTAATCGATTCAGCCAACAATGTACGTACCGTGGTATGTAGTTGATTGGATTACATCCAATCGGGGTCAGGTGGATGATCCCATTGGTAGCCCACGGATGCTGGATTATATCAGGAGCCATTGAAGCAAGCGCATAGTGTTGCTTTTTGGCGCTCTGCTAGCAAAACCCGGGACCATCCGACGCAGCTCAAGCGATTGGTGCTTCCTTCGTCCATGGGCGAGAATGGAAGACTGCGGGTCAGCTGAGGTCCCGTAACCACGTGTGCGCATACACCGACCCTGAAGTTGGCTCCGATAATCGAAGAGAATCAAGAGCAAGAGTAGGTCGGGCGGAAGTACATGGAGCCAAGGAAGAAGACAAGCTGGACGCCGAGATTCGTCTAGCCTCCGTTTCGTACGCACACTGCAATCGGAGTGCAGAGTTCCATGATAGCAATACTTGCGATCAACATGCCTAACCACGCCCGGCACGGTTGAATCGCAGAGTCTCTAGGTTTGATATGCATGCTGTCGCATGTACAGCATTGGAACGAGGAATTAGCGGCGAAACCGCTTCTCCGCGGCGGCGCACCAGGGTGTTGCATCCCAAGGGCCGTCCTGAGTATTGCCTGTGCCTCGTCTCCGAGCCACTAGATCAAAATCGTGGTGGAGGCAGATCAGTAGCAGCCTGCCAAACGGGTAGGATGAAAGCGTAGGTCCAGCGTATGTGTCATTATCTTCAAGGAGGACTTCCACTGTTGAATGATTTACCGAGAAACTCAAGCATCGCCGCAGCCAATCGTCGCTGGCCGACAAGTATCCGGTGATGTCCGACCGAGATCACTACCATTCGAGTTTCCGATCTAAAACAGGATCCAAGGACAGGATCCAAGGAGTTCGGATATGAATACGTTCAACTCGCCGGTTCGACCCGGAGGAAAGGAGGGGTCCGCAATCATGGCAGTGTCTTGATGTCGTCCAAGGTCACGTCAGTCGGAGGCAACAGCCAGACGTTCACGATTTCGTAACAGCACGAGACAGCCCTACAGGTCAAGACACGGTCAGACCCAGTACGCATGTATGATCGAGAGACAGACAGACTCTACTGGTAGGCCCGAGTTCGGTTCGACATGTCGTCATGCTACGGAGCTCAGTTCGTAGGTAACGCGAAGCCAACCAAGTTCATTCAGATGCTCGGCGGCGGTCTACTGCTTCCCACCATCGGGGCTTCGAACGCCCAGTGGCTGCGGTTGACTTTACGCTCCAAGCTTCAGAAGACCGAACGCGCTCTCTCGCGGACTGACATGGGACCAGAACCGGACTCGGGAGTTCCACATTGCACTCACGGGCGGACAAAGGAAACGTCCCGTGGAGATAATCCCGTTTCGGTGACAATTCTGAACACGCCGGCGTCTTATCAGACGAACATGAGGTGCTCATATGAGTGATCTGGGGCTATCCTGGGTATGGTCCTCTTCGCGGTAGCCGATCTTTCGGGCGCGGAGCGGCGTGGACGCAGGGGAGTTTCTCATCCACATGCGGTTGAGAGCGGTCAAAGTTCGTGTTGCTGATGCAGAAGCTGACGCGGAGCTTTCAGGCGCCCGGGACGACCGATGATAGCGCACGCACTGCTCAGTTCGCGCATCGATATATGCCACCAGGGCAGGGAAAGAACGCTCAGGCGATGCACGAGCGAACGTAGGAGCATGGATGGAGCAGAAGACTGCAGTTTGGAGCGGACGCCCGTTGTGTAAATGCACGAACGATTGATGCAAGGTAGGCGGGCTGGCGAACGGGTGTATCAAATGATCGCGTGAGGCCGTGCGCTGCCGGGCATGTACCTGGATCGTCATGTCTTGGAGGCAGGCAGTACCCGATCAGACAGCGTTGTCGCGCAATCGCTCGCTCATTGCATGCAGGAGGTACAAGGCAGGAGGCGATTTGAATTGTCGAATTGATGAAGGAGGGAGAACTAAAGTAGTTACAATGCGCATGTTGCAAGGGCCGGAATACAAGGTGGTGGTAAGAGCCAAGGTCGTCGCTGGAGATCGCATCCGTATAAAACTTTGCCAGCGTCTTTGTTCCCACTTGCTCCCGTCCTTCCACCTCCGCCGCCTTGGAGGTCACAAGTTGATGGCAGGCTTTCAACCTGCTGCCGCCTACTCATCAGTTCGCGACCAGACTGCGCCCGCGATGAGCGTGCAGCCGCCGCCAGCGGCGACACAGTCATGGGCGTCGTCGCAGACACCACCAACCGCCGGCACTTCCGCCTCGACCAGCCAACAGCCCGGCGTCGTTTATTCACCAGTCCATCCGCAAGGCGAACATTTCGATTACGCCGCCGCAACATCGGCCGACTACGCTTCGCGATATCAACCGCAATCGTCGAACGCGTTGCCACCGCACGCTGTGGACCTGAGCATGCCGCAGGTCGAGAGCAGCATCGGGCCCAGTCGAGTGCTTACGCGTAGAGCCGCAAAAATGGCGCAGCAAAACAAGGCTGCTCCGAACACGTCTAGTACTGTGAGTGTTTTTGTGCTATCACGCGTCTTCGACCGACTTACGTCTTTCATGGTGTCCGTCCCCCAGTCCTCATTCTACGTTAACGCCCCCTCGTCGCGCGCGGACTCGCCTAATACTTATATTAATAATAACAATCCATATCCCTCCACGAACGCGGGCTCGATGGCGGCACCGCATTCGCCGTACATCTCGACCTCATCCTCGTCGTCCTCTTCTTACTCTCATTATGGTTTCTTTCCTTCTCACGCGCGTTCCGCCTCTGGATCTACCTCCAATGCACGTTCTGCCTCTCCTGCGCTCAGCATCGCGTCTGCCGTCACGTCGATGTCTTCCGCATCGGTTCATAGCTCCTGGCAAAGCATCGCTTCCCTTGCGACTACCGACGCCGTGTCCACCAACTCTCGCGAGAAACACAAGAAGAATCGCCTTTACAACGTCGATCGCAGGTCGATCTGTCAGTTCCACAAGGATAACCCTAGCATGCGTCAAGAGGACATTGCCCGCCGGTTTGGCGTCGAGCGCAGCACGATCAGCAAAATTCTGAAGAACAAGGCCAAGTGGCTGCACGTCCGGCCCGACGAAGAGATGAAAATAGCGAAGCACCGGTGAGCCGATACGAACAACGATTGCGTTCATCCCCCTCATCGCGTGACCTAGACCCTCCAAGTTCCCGGAGATCGAGATGGAGCTCCAGAAATGGCTCGTCGAGATGGATGCCGCCAAGCAAATCCTTACGGACGCGTCGATACGCCAGAAGGCGAAGGAGGTAGCTCGCACCATGGAGATCCCCGAGGACAAGTTTAAAGCCAGTTCCGGGTGGATCGAAAACTTCAAGCATCGCCACGGGATCCGTCGTGGCGTTTGGCAAGGCGATGGAAAGAATACGCGCGCGGCGCGCGCTATGGGTTGTGGCCATCCTCCAGAGGAAGAGTCCGACAACGCCGCTGCCAAAAAACCGAAGAGGTACATCCACGAAATGACGGAGGAATACTACGCGTCTATCGGCGTTGTCCCCACCTATCCTCATCCCTCTGTTCTTGGCCCGAACTTCGGCATCCCGCTTGACGGGGACATAGAGCATCTCACTCCGTTCGAGAACGGCGACTGGTTGGCAACTCTAGGTCAGCCTCCGCCTCGCGAAGCGAACGTTCCGGACCCGGCTGCCAATCAGGCGCAGACTGCGGATACATGGACTCAGCCTTCCCAGTCGTCTGAAGCCGTTTCCCCTTCCACCGGCACTCCCCCTGAGGCTCAGTCATCGTGGCAGCCTGCGACCGATGCTGATCAACAACCCTCGGGCTCAGGGCAGGCACAGCGCGCTTCGGGGTTGGAAGCGGCGTGGCCCGCACCGCAGACTTCTGCGTCGCCTCATGAAGAATCGGCTCAGCCCATGCTTGGGGTCACGACCGCTTATCCTCAATCGTCCGTGCAAGCTTCAGGCACATACGAAGGCATGGCGGAGTGTCAGGCAAGCACCGTATCGGCGCCCGAGCAGTCACAGGGCCAGTCTACCATGACTCCTTCCTCCGATTGGCGCACTACCATCTATGCTCCCCTCAAGCCTGCCGTGAAGGCTGCCATGAAAGTGAGGGCTACGATCATCGGGGGGATGCTCCCTCAGGTTTTCGGGCCTGCGACTCTTGACGAACTCCTTCAGGATCCCCATGGCAGGCTCATCCACGCGGAACAATGCCTCGACCAGTTCATTTCCTGGACTGCCACGCAGCCCGGTTTCATATCTCCTCACCAGAAGGAGGTGCTGGGCGAATTGAAGAGTCTCATGGTCAACACGGAGATGATGATGCGTCATCGAAGCTAATTTCTCATCGCCGGCGACGCCGTGTTGTTCCCTCCGCAGGCGGGTTGCAGTCAAGAGAGTCTTCGTCAAATCCCACCAACTTTCTTTTCTCTTTTCTTTATCGCATATGCAGTGTCTCGGACCATCACGAACCCTCATGTCAATTGTTATTCTAGCTCATCGCATGCATTCAAAGCTGTTTCAATACAAGGACACCATACCCCATGCACTCCTTGTTACGACCATTTCACTCACGACTCTTATGCCGTACCTCACTTCACGACTCATTAGCCCGTCGTGTCGCATGTTCCCCCTTCTCGAGCTGTTTATTGTTGGGCTTACGGGTCTATTAGACTTGTTGTAACCTAGCAATCTCGTTCCGTCGTCAATGGTTGATGGCAATAAAGTGATTTCCGCAGAGCATTACATAGAGTACAGTCACACATAGAGTACTTCGATGCGACAGCTCATTACCGGTAGCCGACATCGATGAGAAGGCAGTGGGATTCAGTTTTTTTCCGGCCGGTCAACTGGCTCCTCGCCGTCGACCGCGGGCCGCTCTGCCGCCGGCAAGCTCTGCTCGTCACCAAGCTTGGGGTCACGGAGGAGCAGAGCAAAGACGAGGAGGGGCACGCAGAGGCAGATACCGGTGATACAGAGCAGGCGCTGCGTATGTTTGTAGGCGGCAATGATCGCATCGCGCTCCGGGGTGCCGACGGGGTATAAGATGGCGGTAGTAAGTGGGGAACCGTATACCTCCGCCGCGAGCGTCGAGTTGATGTTCGCGAGGCGGGAGGACAGCTGCTCAGGAAGAACGTTCGTCCAGATAGCGCCAGAGACGGAACCACCGAGAGCGCTGCCAATGTTGTAGGAGGCGAGATAAATGGCGGTGATCACTGCCAAGTGTTCGTGGCGGGTATGGGCCTGGATGCTGGCCTGCGCGGGGTACGAGAACATGCCTCCTCCGAAGCCCAGGACGACCTGAGCACCGACAATAGCGCTGTGGCTTGCATTGCCGCCGCGGAAGCGGATCAGGAGACCGAAGGCGACCATGAACAAGCAGACGCCGAACACAATGCTAAAACCCATTCAGCTCCTATAACTTGGGAGAATCGGCAGGGCACGTACAATGGCTTCAACCGTCGGACGTAGCGGACAATCAGACCCAGACCACACCCGACAAGGACCGAGGTGAACGAATAAACATTGGTGATGCGAGTGGCTGAGCTGATGGTCTCATCGAAAGCTACGACCAGAACAGTGTACAGGTAGCTGGGGAGATCTTTCAGATCTCTGCAGATGATGAAGCATTTACGATGATGATACGCACTCGCCCTGGAGATACCACGCAAAGTTGAGGAATAGAGCGATCCCTAGCGCAGCCCAAACACCGCGATCCTTGAGCAGCTATAGGGCGGAATGAATATGCAGACTTATGATATCTTCTGGGAGACTTACGCGGAACGGTACGAGAGGGTGCTTAGCCTTCATTTCCCACAGAACGAAAACGGGAACGCAGCATACGCCTATAACGAGCATCGCAATGATGTGCCCGGCTCGCCACTGCTCGGCGGCGGAGCCTGCGATGGTAAAGGGTACAAGGATAAGGGCAAATACTGTATATATCCAGGTCAATAAGGCGTTCCCGTATGATGAATCTTTGCTTGCCTGCGATAATGAGGATGATTCCAATGACGTCGAGTTGCCAGAACAAGGCAATCATAAGATCCTTGAAGCCTGAAGTCGGGTTTAATGAGCCGGATGACTTGCGATGGTTGCAACTCACCGAGCTGTTGGAAGGGCGTCCGATACTTCTCCATGCTTACTGAGTGTGAAGCCCGCTTGGTTGCCCAAGCCAAGGTTATGCATAACGGCAAGGCGCAAACTGAGAGTCATACTTAAGCATCGGTGAGGCAGCGCAGCCGGGTTATTTACCAGTGTAAATGAGAGCCCACATGCCAATACCCCAGCGCCAGGTAGTTGCGCCGAGGACGGCTGAAGTGACGTCGCCAGAAACCCATGCGTTGATCTACAATCACAAGCTAAGCCGGAGGGATCGCGCAGTAGCTTCAGATACTGCATACCACAAACGGTGTTGCGGGAACGAAAGAGAACAGCACACGGTTGCGGAGCGCGGTTGTGTCGCCAACGAGTACTTCAACAATCAGCATGATCGCTGTGTACCCAATCTACAGCGCGTCAACGATATTATTCGTACGGTATGGAAAGACATGCAAACCTGGTACAAAATGGCACCGCCGGCGAAGCCTCGTACTCCGGTTGACGTGGACTCGACAATCGTACCGACGACATAGAATACTATGCTGACAACGAGGACTTCGAAGCGACCGAACACGTCCATCAGTTTTGCGAGCGTTGGCTGGGCGGCGGCAGCAATGACGGCGCGCAGAACGTTAACCGTGGCAAGCAGCGAATGTTGCGCATAACTGTTCGTAGCGTACGACTAGAAAAAAATTGTCAGCTTCGCAGGTCCGGCGGTGAAAATTCATTGAAGCGTAGCGAACCTGGTAAGTGTATCGTATGGTTCCGTCAAGACCGTAGGCGTAGCTGACCAAGAAGATGCCGACGAAGAGGAAGACCTTGGTCCATTTTGTGAAGGTCGCGTTGATAGCCTCGATCCTGCGTACACCAGGAGAAGTCTCACCGAGCAAGTGCAGCTCGGTCGTGGAGTCCTGCGGGTCGAACTTGTGCTGGGAGTGGGAGGATATGGACATGGTGGGCCAAGGGGAAGGCGGGGCGACGGTTCCGTTCTTATATTAGCCCATACAGGCCCGTTCATACGAAAACTGATCCGCCTGGGAATTTTATCAGATAGGCGGAGCCGTATCAGACCACTATCTGATAAACGTCAACCCGCCCGTTTCGGATCTCTCCATCCCGCGTGCCAAGCTTCATCGTCCGACTTGGCTCCTAGCACAGACAGGAGTCGCATGAAACAGAACGAAGAGATTTTGCAGTGACCCCACAGCGTTATGCTGGCCTGGGCTATCGTCGACGCTTGAGTAGGTTCGCTGGCGTGTCCAACGTGGGAGGACTCTTCTCTGTGCCAGCGCCAACGTCAGCAAGCTCTCTTCTGGATCCGTACCTCGCCGATATCTATGCACCTGAGGTCGTCCCGCGCTCCGCAACCTTCGCATTTGGTCTCCTCAATTATGTGCCTATACGCTTTGGTTGCAGCGATGTCTCCGGCATGCCTGCACCTCCTAAACAGCGAATCGTCGGAGGCATGTCAGCCCCAATCAGAGCTTCCTCCATTCTTCTATGGCTTCATCTGAATTCTATGGCTTCACCTGAACCCGACGCGCTGGAGAGCTCAAGTATCACGTAAGACACCCATATGTTCTCATCCTGTTTATAGCCACACCTTTCTCACCTGAGTATTATCGAAATTAGCTACACTCAGGGGTGCATGGCTTGTCGCGTTGTTGCATTCTAGCCTCAGGGGAAATCAGCCCGTAGGATGATGTACTTGGGGGTGATTTGGACCGGTTGAGAACTCTTGGACGGAGGATGGGTCGGTGGGTGATGTTTCACGTGCCTCGGCGGATCGGGGAATCCGAAAAAAAACATAGACTGCGTAGACAGCCTAAGAACACCGCCTGTCATCGCAGATGGTATGCTGAATTCCTCGAGTACTTGTACAGATCGGGAGCGAGTCCGTGGCACGAATGAATGGTAATAAAGAAAAACCCCCAAAAACAAGCAAGAATGATGAACATGTATGTACAAGTGATGAACATATATGCAAGACATGAGAGATCTCAGCGTTACATTACCCATAAGACGGCGGACATCAACGGTTATCCATAGGAGAACGGGAGCGCGGACGACTGGTGGATGGGGAGCGTCCTTCCTCGCTGGGACTAGGGCTGCGAACCCGAGCCGGTGACGGGGATCTAGACGCGCGGTGTCGGTAAGATGATTCTCGATCACGAGAAGGATGCGCGCCCGGCCGACGATACTCCGACGTCCTCTGCGTCGAGTTGTGACGACTGAGGGATGGACGCTGAGCGTACGGCGACATGGCGTGGACCGAACCTGAGGCGGGCTGGCCCGGACCCTCCAATGTCATAGGGTGTTCGGAGCGTGACGAACCAGGTGGTGGTGGCAGACGCGGTGGCTCAAAGCGAGCTGTCGACACCGAGTGACGTCTGCTCGCCTCGAAGGGTACCGGAGACGAAGTGTCGTACTCCACAGTGCTACGGGTCCCGTACGATCTAGGCATGTCGCGCGGCGGAGAGGAGATGCGCCTCGTCAAAGATGGCCGCATTGCGTGACGATCGACCGGTGGGAAAGTGTAACCGTCTTGAGTCATTCCCCCAGCACCGTTCGGGTGTTTGCTAGACATGGAGTGGGTTCCGTACGATGTGTCCCCAAGTCCTCCCGGGGTTCTGTACCGTCGCAGCTCATCCTCTAGGTCAGCCACCCTGCGATGGAGACTGTAACATTCCTCCTTGATGGGGGCCAACCGACGCTCCACCGAAGAGGCGACGAGATCGTCCAATCGTTCCTGCTGCTGTTGCAGATTTTGTATAAGCGCGTTCGACTTTTGGAGCTGATCGGATAGCCACGTCTTCAGCTCTTTCGAATCCGCCAAAGCGTCATAGAACATCTCGAACGGAGCGAGGAACGCTGCTTTCTCGCCGGCATAGCCCGGATGGCGGAGCGTCGTCGGCGTCGGAGGAACCAAGGTATTCGAGATCGGAACCGATCGGGTACTTGGCGGAGAACGCGCGGCTGCCGCTGCCGCGGCGCCACGCGTGGTCAAGGACGTCGGCGTGGGCGGTACTCTACTCGCCGTCACGCGGCGTAAACTCGGGCCGGTCCCCATCGCGGAGGGCAGGCTGGGCAAGGCCATTGGGAAGCGGCCAGGGAAGCCAGATCCCGCTTGAGGCACTGGGGGCGCGCTCTGTATCAACGGTGCTAAATCACCTGAGGCGTGGGCATCTCGGGGGCTGATCAAGATATCTGCAGGCTTTTTCTTGCCTCCTATGCCGAGCTGGCCCGCGCGACGCCTTGTAAAGCTGCCAGGCGGCGGGGGAAGACTGTTTGGAAGAGCTCCTCCAGGCACTGACACATGCGTAGCCGCGGCGTGAGATGTCTGGCTTGACGAGGAGATGGGGGGAGGAGAGGGGTGACGAATGGATGACGCGCCAGGTCTAGAGTGCGTCGCACCGGGACCGACAGCCATGCTCCCTCCACGCGGCCTGCTAGCTAGCGGCGGGCCTGAAGGAGGGGTACGGCCTCCCGCGCGTCCTCCACTTGTCGATTTGTACCGTTCATCCTGAGGGGCTCCTCCGGCCAAGCTTGGGCCAGAGGGTTGGACTGGAGTCAAGCCCGCGGTACTCTCCCGCCGCTGCTCGATGAGAGCCTTCTGCTTCTGCTTGACGGTCAACATGGATCGCACTTGCTCGAGGGCGGTCGGATCGTCGCGAGGCATTTGGAGACCCATGACGACAGGTGATATCGGATTCGATCCGGCGGCGTCCACGGATCCTTGACGAACGTTGGTATTGATGGGATGCGCCATGCTGCTGATGGTGACACGTCGTCGCTTGGACTGGGGAGCGTTCGTGGTTGAAGGGGAGGGCGCGCCAGCGGATTCTTGATAAGATACAGAATGCGACACGCCCAAAGGCCGAGGGGGTGAGAGTGGCTCGTCCATCAGCTCATCTTGCTCTTCCTTCACCGGCCTGATGAGAGGGAGTCAGACGCGTGGATTGAGCCAAGCCAGTAAAGCGAGAAAGCGAGACAAAGAGCCGAGTATACTGACGTTATATCCGGCGCGGGTGCGCCGTCTTCGTGTCGGGGTCGTTTCCGTGCTGCTCTGGACTCGTCGACGTCGCTACGTGGCGGAGACCGGGGCCGCTGATGCTTGTCCATGGACGGTGATATGGTCTGGATGGGTGGCAGGGCGTTGTCCGTGCCGGAAATGTCGGAGAGTGAGCCCTTGTTGAACGTCTGTGCAAAGGAAGGTAAGGAGCGTGGAGAATGCGTCGCGACGGCGGCTGCATTGTTGGCAGACATGACAGAACGGCCGGGAGGTGGACGAGGAGGGAGAGGGGGGGCCCTGCGGAAGGGAGGCTTGAGCGCGAGGTTGATTGAGGAACGCTCTGCTCCCAGACGTTCTTCGCCTTGTTCCGTTTGCACTCACCCTCACACACCTGCTCTTCCGAGGCTGCCGTCAACGACCCATTCATTTACGAACGCACGCAGGCTCCGGCACCAGTGCCAAACCGAGTTCTGACCGCGCCCGGCCTGCTTGATTCATTGAGCGCGCTCGATCGCAGCCCTTCTTATTTCCATCCGCCGAACCATCACTTCCACAATGAGCGGCGCTCCGGCGCGGCCACTCCGATCCTCAGAGTCAGAAACAAACACTGCACCATGTGCTTGCGATAACATCCAATGGATAAAGACATACACTACGCCGTGCTCGACATCAGGAGTCTGGGCAACCGCGACATCTGCACGCAATCTCATCGGTGATCCCCCATGACGATGCGAAGGCCCTCGACCTTCTCGCGTATATCCGTATGGACGCATCCATGACGTATCGCTCCCGTCCAGTCGGATCCGCGAAGAAAAGGCGATAGGTCGTCAAACCTAGCCGCTGCCGCTGAATACGGTGCAACAGCGAGGCCCGAGGCGACGTCGACGATCGCAGCCTCGAGAAGCACCGAGTTGCGCCCAACAACTCTCGTTCCATCACCACTTCTTCTTCCGCAGGGCGTTCTTCGCCCGTAGCGTACCCTTGCCTCGGGCTCCTCTGACCGTCTGCAGCTCCTTGAACTTTTTCTTCGCGTACGACTTCGCCTCTGCATCGTCCACTAGTTCGTCAACGAGCGTTCGTTTTCTCGCCGCCCTTGTTAGGTTACTTGGCGAAGCCGTGTCGAATGGTGAGCGTTCAGCGACAACCGTTCCGATCTAGGGACAAACCATCTGTGAGCACCTGTACCAATGATAGTCAGAAACAAGTGAGACATACCGCAAAGTACTTGGGCAATCCCTTGATTCCCTTTCCTTCTCCCTCCTCCTTTCGATAGAAACGCTTGGGGTCAAGATGGTTCCGTAGGCGCAGTGCTTCGACCTCGCGATAGAGCCGTGGGAGCTCCGCGGCGGGAGGAGCGGGCAAATCGAACCAGGATGCGCCAGCAGTGTCAGCCTTGAGCTGCAAGTCGCATAGATTAGCACGAGAGCGTTCATACTGCCATCCAGGCACGAGGTCCACGTACAGCTTTCCGTTCCTTCTTGGTCAAAGCCCGTCCAGTTTTGGGATCGAGTTCAGGAGGGGGTAATGGCGGGGCGGGGGCGCCTTGGAAATAACTAGCGATAGCGGCAGCAGCATTCTCGGTCCGCGTTGCCTCAGGGTCGGCGACTTTGGCGGAGGCCCCGTCGGTTCTCCGGCGACGACGCTGCTTTTTTATCGTGTTTTCCGTGTTGTTGTCAGATTCTGTTGTGATATATGGCGGAGGCAGAGGTCCGGGGTCAAGGGCGGGAAGGACGCTGCCGTAGGCATCGTTAGCTTGGCGAATAAGAATGACGAACGAAAAGACTGACGCATCCGTCGCTATTCCATCGACGCCTTCTAGTCGTATAACGTCCTCCTCGACGGTCGATGAAGCCTTTCGCGCTTGTACATTCCGCCGTGCCCTCTCGAGAAGGGAATCAAGGTACTCTGGGTTGATTTCTTCGTCGGATTCGCTTGTTGTGCTTTCCTCGTCAGAGCTTGACGCCGAGTCCGACTCTGAAGACGAAACCGACGAAGAACTCGAATAACCGCCTGAAGGGGCTGAAGGCGCCTTTAGCTTGCGGGGGGGAGGAGAGCTTGGCCCCGCGGCTGGGGGTGACGGCATGATCAACGAGCCGTCTATCGACCGTCTAAACAAGTGTCAGACGTCTGTAGCAGCACCGTCTAAAGAGATGGAGAGGAAGGCTATAGTTATTTTACATGTCATTGCGATGGGGGAAGTGGCTGTGCTGAGTAATGTGGAATACATTCGTACTAAACGGAAACTGAACGAGATGATCATGCAATGTACGCGAACGTGTCTCGAGTTCCTTCAACTCGTTCCATGTATTCTTTCTCCATGAGCGTGTCGATAGCCTTATGAAAAAAATCAGTCGACTGTAGTCCCAAATAATCAGCGTAAACGGACCTTCTTGATGTCCGGGATCTTGGGGGCGAAACGTTGCGAAATCTGCGATATAACCTCTTGAATCAACGCTTGGTTCTTCATTGTCTTTCGCGCCTTCATGATCCTATCTCGGCCACAGTGATGAGTAACCTACTCAATAGCGGCGTGGATAGTTCGTACCGAACAATCGTTGCTTGTATCACGTATTTGCGGTCCTCATCGACATGTTTCATCACTTCGGAGTTCTCCGCCTTCTGCTCAGCCTTGATAGGCTGGTTAATGTTCACGCGGATCTTCTTTGATTTGAAGTCTGGGTCACGGCAATCAGCCACAACGAGCAGCACGGCGAGGACGATGCACATACTGGGATTGAGGTCATATTGATCCGTCTCCTCGTTGATGAGAATCTTGGCCTTAACCAGGACCGCTAATACCTGCGTGAGGATGTCTTTGCTGATCGAGGTAGCTGCCATCAGCTCGTCCAAGCTGAGCGTGTCGTTGTCGTTGTATTGGACGAGCACGGCCATCTGGTAGGAGCTGGTCATCAGAATGTACTTCTGGTTCGTGTAGTTCGTCCGAAGCTCGTTCTTGGAGTAGTTCCACAGCCACGTCAGCTTCCGCCCGGAATGCTTCTGCTGGTAGTACTTCGAGAACCGCTCGTACGTTGGAAGGATGTCCTTCGGGATGATGAACTCGTGTTCGGGCGGCTTCAATGGCCAGAAGTTGGTGCCGAGGACCATCACCGAAAAGTTCAGGTCCATGTCCCCGTGGTTCTGTGTCATACGTTCTTTGAACTGGTCGGTCAAGTCCTTGCTCAATGACATGTCTTGAAAAGCGTCAGGGGAGCAAGCCCACCGAAAGGACGAAAATTACATACCGGTGAACATGCGCTGCAGCTTCTGGGTGTACTCGAAACCGCAAGCGTCCTTGAGCTTGGCGATCATGCTCGCTTCCGCTTCGTCAGAAGCGGATGCGCCGTGAATCAACCGCTTCGACAATTTGGTAGAGTAGAATTGCTGGAACACGTCCTTATCCTCGAGGTATTTGAAGAGGATCATCTATGGATTAACGTTCAATCACTCTGTCGGAGAAGGTTGACTGTTCACGCACGACGCGGTTCAACGCGCCCTCGAGGTCTTCCGACTCTGCAAGCTTGTTGTTTTTCCGTAGTAATTGATCGGCATGCTTGGCAAGTAGTTCAGGAGACTTCGTTGAGGAGGTGCCGGTGGCCGCGTTCTTGTTGACGAAGTCCCTGCAAGCTTTATCCAGGCTAGCAACGAAACCAGCCTCGCCCTTGAAACTACGTGTTACGGTCTCAGAGTTCTTCTGATGCACCTCTAAGAGAGCATCAACGTAATCCTTGGGATCAAGCTCTGCTTCGGAAGACCCAGATCCGACCAGTTTCGCCACCGCAGCCAGGCCGGCCTTCTTCACATGCTCTTCAAACTTCTTCCTCAGGGGTTCAAGGCCCTCCGGGATGCGCGCGAGAAGCGCATACATCCGCTGAAGGTCTTCGTCCTTGTCGAAGTCGAGCAAGCCTTGGAACGATTCCCACATGAGCTCGGCGTGTTGCCTGATTAGAACATGCTCGCATTTGCTGATCAAAGCTTTGCGCGTGTTCGTGTTCAGATACCGTTCTACGCGATCCTCTTCCTCCTTCAGCCGTTCTTCTGCCTTCTTGAGGTAATCCGATACACTGTTCTCTGCCAAGAATGCCTCGGACTCGGCCTTGTAGTACTTCTCCGTCGCTTCGAGGAAAGGCGTTTCGAGGTGATCGTTGTAGACTTCAAATGAGACCTTGTTGATGTCGGTCTCGTCCAGGCCCAAGGATACGAAGGAGTCGACAACTTTCTTGATCAGACCTTGGTCGATGGTTTCCCCATTGCGTTGCCGCTCAATCAAGCGCAGAATGGCGCCGGCGAGTTTCTGGTGTTTGCTTTGCACATGCAAGAAAAAGTTGGCTTTCCATTGCACAAGCGCCAACTGCAATGCTATGAGCGTCTAACCGCAGTATACTGATGATCGAACGCACCGTGTAAACGGGGTAAACATTTCGCCGACCTTCATCTCGCTCGCGCTTCACCCAGTGCCGGTTCAGGTAGGTAAACAATCGGTTGATGTAGTTCGAGCCTGTAGTGTACCGGTCCCATTCCCCAGCATAGTACGTAAGCAAGGCTTCGTCTTGCAGCGAGTCAGATGCCTGTACTCGTTGCTTCAGCCTGATCCCGCAGATGCGCGAGTATGATGGGCACGTACTTCACGTAGCTCTTTCAGGTGGGTGATGAAGTACCGGATCAAGTTGTTGTATAGATCTGCGCCCATCAAGTTCGCCCCTGCTGTTTGTTATAACAGATCCTTTAGCATCATGGATCACACAGATATGTGTCGAGGGACCACTCACTTCGTCCAGCTAAGCCACCTTGTTCTGCGCCGCCAGCTGAGGGTTGCATCCGACTCGACGTGCAGTAGTTGTACGCCACCGTGTACAGAGACATGTACTTTGAGTAGGAAACGCCAGTTTGAAGTTTGGTCATGATATGGTCAACTCCTTCTTCCAGGAACGCCCATGTTGTCACTAAGTCTGCCGTCGCAGGCGGCATAGGATACGGTTGATTGCTTGCCGTCGACATCCTGGACAAGAAGGAGCTGATCAGCGCAGCTCAGAGTGGCGTGTTTGGTCGCAAGATGAGCTTAGGAGGAGGACAAGCCTGCGCGGCGCGTACAGCCACTGTGCCTGTCGCGACTGGGCGCGGACCGCGGGTACTGAGCGTTGAGAACACGAAGGGTCTGCGCTCATCTAGGTGGAATATTCGGACTACGGCATCTTTGGTTTATGAGGGGTTTGCAGAAAAGGATTAGATATAGGATTATATTATAGCTTAACCCCAGTGTGTATGCAAGCAACACCTCCGGTGAGATCACGCCAGGCCCCTCCTTTGCCTTCCCGCATCTCTCCTGTCGCAAAGCCCGCTTCTTGAATCATTTTTGCAAAATCAGCCTGGGCTGGGAAGTTCCGTATAGACTCAACCAGGTATTGATAGGAGTCGCGATCTCCGGCGAGGATTGTTCCCATAAGTGGGATCAAGGAGAACGAGTACTGATCATACACACTACGCAGGGGTCATTAGTATACCAGACGACTGGGGGTGCCAAGCTTACGTGGCTAGTAGCGGATTGTTGACTTTGCTGAATTCTAGGCAAGCGAAAACACCGCCAGGCTTAAGCACCCTGTGCGCTTCTTGCAGCACATCAGGTATTGATGTGCAGTTGCGAATACCGAACGCGATCGTATATAAATCATACGTATCGCTAGGGAATTGGAGCTTCATCGCATTCGCTTCATGAAACGAAACCTGCGGTGCTATGACTGAGTGAGTATAGGGCATTACAACAACCGCGCGACGAACTGTTGTGATACATAGTCTTCTTGAATCGTTTATATCCCTCCTTCAGCATCTCCGTGTTGATGTCAGCGACCTCGACGACGGTCTCTCTGTCGGCGTACGTCTCTCTCGCGTGGTCAAGGATTCGCAGAGCAATGTCGCCAGTTCCACCAGCGACGTCTAGACACCGCATGGGCCCGTTCTTCCCTGGCGCCAGAGAGGAAACAAACGTGTCTTTCCATAGACGGTGAATGCCAAAGGACATGGCATCATTCATGAGATCATATGAGCTCGCGACAGAGTTGAAGACGTTCTTGACGAGCCCCTCTTTTTCCTCCTCCGGGACGGTCTTGTAACCGAAGTGGGTGGTGCGCAAAGACGAACCCTGATGACTATGGCGGGTATGCATTCGCCGTATCGAGCGTATGGAACATGACGCAAAGCGGGCGAGGGGCCTCATGAGCGGAAGGGGCGAGCGAGAGGAAGCTGGCTGGAGGTGTCGAGACGCCGAGAGCGAGTCCGACGACCTCTTTCGAGAGCACTCGTCATGAAACTCCGCGACGCCCTCCTCGACGCGCTCAAAACACTACCGGGGACAAGGACGTTCCACCTCCATGTCCTTGTCTCTGCCCCACGCAAATACGGCGACCTCTTCCCGTACGCTATCCCGCGGCCCAGAGTCGACCTGCAAGACATCCTCGTCCTCGTCTCCGAACAAACCTCCGACGACAGACCCCGTATCCTTGTGGCAGGATTAGAAGCTTCCCTGTACCACATTCGACAGACATCATCCGCTATACTGAACGTATGCAAGGTGGATACCACTGGGCATTGTTCCGCACCGTCACCCACCCGTCGCCTTGTGGAAGCTTTCCTCCGTTTCTACTCCGATTCATCGACGTGTCCTCTTCCTATCCATACCCTGTGGATTCACGTCTTTGCACGAGCACAAAACCAATACCTCTTTCCCAACTCTTCCGAATACAGTGGGAAGCACCCGCTTACAGACGTCAAATTGTGCGCATGGTGGAAAGGGGTCTTCACCGACGTCGCGCTCGCGCAACCTGCACATTCCGAGCTTGAACTCTCATACGTACTTCCTGGCCTGAATGAAACTGAAGCCATTCAAGCTCTTGGAGTCCCTCATCCGACATCCTCGATACCGCGTCCTACAGCCTGGGTCTACGGGCATCCGTATGCAAGAACGCAGATACCACTTCCATGTCCACTACCGCCCAACGATGATGAGGGCGTCCAGACTCGCAATCTTGGACACTATATACCATCCTTTGATGATGATCCCAAGAGTCGGTTCATGGATGAGATAGCTCACACCAGCGAACACTTGGGGGTAAAATCGCCGAAACGAAAGCGGAGGAGGAACGACAAAGATGTCACTACACGACACTCTTCAGACGATGAAACCTCGCGCCCAGAAGGCGAAATGGGCAAGGTTACTCCGGACGAGTTTTGGGAACGCATGTCGTTTCGACAGGAGTGTGTCGCAGGCGCGGTGACTGGGTTCTTCGTGCTCGGTATTCGATTTCCATCTCCACAATCCACTATCTCGCTGCCTACGTCACGCTCGCAACACGACGCAATACCGCCGGACGTGTCCTCCGTCTCTCAGCCGGGGCAAGTTTCTTCGAATGTCAATCGTCGGGTGCTCGCAACACTCCTCACGGGAACAGAGTATTCGACCGCGGAACGCGCATATCGTGCCACGGACACCATCGAGAGCGCTATCAAGGCGCTGTGCGAAGGCTTCACAGCCGACCACTTCCCACCACCCACCGCGCTCAAACCAACCAGCAGGTCTGGCTCTAAACTTTCGGCCCTTCCTCCCAGCGTGCAATCGATGACCACTAATCGCGCTCTCATTACAAGGGTTTCAGGGGATGTCGCGGCTGCCAAGTCTAACATCACGAACACGGTGGTCAACCAGTCTAGCGTGGCTCTGTTGAGCGAAGCAGCATGTCGCAGTCGATCACCAGCTGAAGACCGAGGATTTAAATCACCTAGTCATCCCAGGGACACGTACCACGAACATGTTTACGGTACCGTACATGTGTCAAACAAATTTGATCCCGCGAAGGAACGTCAGCCCTCAGCTATAGATGTATCTGGGGTAACGGTCTTGACTGTAAGGAAGAGAAAGAAATAACGTGAAATCAATTATACTATCTACTTCCCGTCATGTATCTGTATGACATATCACATCTTCAACCACATCAACATACAATATTTGTTAGGAATTCATATTCAGATTGCTCAATTTGGTGTATGGTGTTGTTAAATGTCGGGCGGCATGTCGGGCATGCATTACGGTGTTGTTAAATGTTGGGCGGCATGCCGTCTGCAATGCAAGGGGTAAGATTGCTGGGCAAGTGTTACATGTTGATCCAGACCGATCTACGCCGATCCACTCTGCCAATCTTCACTGATCTGCACCGAGCTTCTCCAACTCATCTCCGACTCTTTGCCGACTTCTTCACCGACATCAATCCCGCCTTTCCCGTTTTGGCCAAGGGCAGGATACGTCTATCACATGCACCGGGCCACCGGCGGCTCAACGCCCCAGTGGTTCCAGATCTCTGAATGGATTCAACTCCGACTTTCCTGTTTCCTGTTCCCTTTGTTTGACATCATAGTTTCCCTTTGTAGACTTTAGTTTCCCGTCGCTTGTGACAGATCTTTTGGACCGTCCCTTCCATCCCTTCTCTAGATATGTTCCCTTTGTGTTCCATGCATTATCACTCATCTCCGTATGTTTCCTTTGTGCGCCGAATGGCACCTCCAATCTCCGCATCTCCGACTTCGCCATTGTTCTATTTTGTGTATATAAACCGTCAAACTTGCCGTAGATAGTCAGTTTGAATATCGACTAAGCTTCGTTCTCTCTCTCCTGCGGACTCAGAGCATGTAGCAGCCTAGCGCACAAGCTTAGGCTTGGGTCGCATCCGATCTCGACTTCACCAATGCTTCCGACTTATCGACTCAACGCCGACGCATCTCCAACTCCCCTCCGACTCTACCTTTGAGTTCCCCTTTCTCTTTCATTCTATTCTTCATATCTACATTTTGGACTTCGGTCCTCTGACCTTGTTCCTCCCTTTGTATCCGATCTTGACACCCATCCACATCTTGTCAATTGTACGGTACTCAGGGTGGCGGAAAGTGTGCGCACGGGGTCACGTGAGTGACCCGCGCCGCAACAATCCTCTTGTTCTTTCTGCTGAGCGTAGATCATACAATGTCAATAGATATATGGCATATATGGTATATTAGGACTACTATACTAGAATGGTGTTTGCCAGCCTTGAGCTTTTTTCACTGCCTCCACCCGAGCCTTCATTGTCTGGGTATGTTTTCCAACTTCCTCATCTGTTATCTCCTCCCATGCCTTCTGTACTGCTGCCTTGAGTGTTTGGACAGAGTTGGAGGATCCCCTAGTAGCCACTACGTTGTTCTTGAGTAAAGCCAAAGTGGCTCAATGGGGTTAAGATCAGGTGAACTTGCAGGATGTGAGAGGCTCTTGATGCCCAACTCTGCCCGAGCCTTCTTTGCGAGAGCACTGCGATGCTCCATCTTCAACCACCAGCATCTCCTGACCCCTCTCCTCCTCCATAGCCCTGATCCAAGCAATCAAGGGTCCCTGCATCACCTGCTTCACATACTCATCTCCACCCAACCCGCCCCTCAACTTCGTTCCTATTGTCATTGCAGCTGTCTCGAGCACAACCAATGGCCCTTTCTTGTTGTGGGCAATACAGCCCCAGAGCATGATTGACTTCCTCCCACTACGGAATGTTGGCTGTATGTTGCTGAGGAGGAATTCTTTGCTAGGGTGCCGGGTGACTTTTTGGTTCTATGGACATTCACTGGTCTCGATCGAAGATTCATCAGTCCAGATAACTGTGCTCCAGTCCCTCTCTGAGTTCTCCCATGCCCATGCAAGACGATTCTTGGCAGCAGCAGCAGCCATGTAGAATTTGTGGCATGCAGTGCGGCGGCGGTAGCCAGTATCATGGAGAGCCTGTCGGACTTGTTGTACTTTGACAGTGCCCACATGATCAGCAACAGCTTGATATGTGTCAAAGTGGTGCTTCCGGGCAGTGTGGATAATATGACGCCGTCACGGTCTGTAAGCTTGCGTGGTCGTCCTAAACAGGGCAGGGAGTTCCGAGTATGGTACTTGCGCTCCCTCCAGACAGTCCCAGCTACCCCATATTTCGATGCTCTGACTTTCTCAGCAATTTGTGCATAGTAGTATCCTTCGTCGAGTAGAGCAAGTATATGACCCCTTTTGCTGGGGGTAAACTCTTTGACTCCAGCAGGAGGCATGCAGAAAAAATACGAGGTCAAGACGTGTGTCACTCACGTGACCCCGTGCGCACACTTTCCACCACCCTGAGTACAAAGGTGTCTGTATATGGTTGTCTGACAGTCAGCCCTTTCCTCTCATTTTGGGTGAAAGGAAGTGGCCCACAAGGGCCGCCCCCTCTGCAAGCAAACGAAAGGCGGGCCCGGTTGTTGCAGCGCGCAAGGAAGGCCAGTCTGGTGAGGAGTTTGGGGTCCTATGAGGTCCAAAATGCAAAGAGAGCCAAGCTGAAGGGTAGATTGGTCTTCTGTAGGTGGTATGCCAGGGCATAGATGGGGTCTATTGAGCCGCGCTGTTGATGTAGAAACACTGCTTCCCCTTTTGCATAACAAGTTTTCAATGAGGGGAGTAAAATGGAGTATGAAGCCGATGTCCTGGAGGGTTTGTGGAAATCTCCGTGCTTTGGGAGGTGATCTTGGAACACCGTTTGGGAGTTCGGAAGGAGCTCACTGGCACGGAACTGCCCCCAAAACATGCAGCAAGCAGCTGCAAAGACTGCGGTGTTGAAGGCCGACTCAAATTTTAGTCTCCTGTGCAATTGGCACAGCATATCCCATGTGACTGGTCCTCTTGGTGGTTTGCACGATTCGCGGGGCCTCAGGTTCTCGATGCCTTTCAGGACCTGCTGAAGCCTTCTGCCTCCTAGCCAAAGGGAATCTTGCACGGTATGCCACGCTTTAAGGCCTGTGATCCAGCTCCTTGCCGTCTCCCCGCCAGCTTCCCCAAAGCCCTAGTGGCAAACGTGCATAGCACTACCTCTGGGGCCAGGAACCTCTCTTCATTGGGGATGTGTTCCTGTTTGCAGAAGCGGAGATACCGGTTCACGGTGCTGCTGTAGCCTCTGAGAGTGCCCGGCACCCAACTGGCCCGAATTGCCCTGTTCAGCTGGCTTACCGACCTTGCCAACAGCGGGAGCCGGTGTGCAGCCGGCAATATTTCAAAAGGCTTCTGGCTCGTACTTTCTCACCAGCGCAACCTGGAGGGAGGATCACGAGGGGGGCCGTTGTGGCGCATTTTGTGATCTCTCTGTGGCTCTTGAAAACTAACATTGCCATCGAGGCAGTTGTATAAAAGCAGAAGGTGACAAGTATGTCAAACTATAGCTCTGCATTCTGATGACTCAAAGGGGCATCAGCGACTTGCGCATTGTCCCGCCCCTAAAGTGAATAGGTGCGGAACTGCTCGAAAACCTCCATTTTTTATTCATTCTGCAGCCTTTCTGTTATGTAGTAGTATAGAATCTAAGTAAAATAGACCAAGCATGTACCTTAAACTGGCCCAGGAAAGTCTGACCATATTAGGAAAGGATTGCCAAGCGGTGCCCAATCTTAGTCAGCACATGACAAATCATGACTCAGCTGAGTCAGAAGCTGACTCAGCACTGCTAGGATTACTAATATGACTCAGAAAGCTGGCCTAGCTAAGGAGTATAAAATGTAGCTGAATCGGCATGAATGAGAAATCAATCAGTTCCCCCCGAAAAGTACTCAGCAGTCATCTGCTAAACTCTCTCTCTGTCAGGACTCAAGTGCCTGGACAGCTTCCCTATCGACTCTCTATCGACTCTATCGACTCTACACAGCCACCATAGGCTGTTCGAATCCGTTTCCCATGCTCTATCGCCTCCGCCACCAAAGGAACAACTAATCTCTCCCTTTATTTCTCTAGGAACTTCGACGCACGGCGCGTCGTACAACACATCAACACAAGACCCCTCAAGCCTCCCATACAGGCTAACCGTCTTATTACCTCTTTAGGTATCGCCGATGA